CTTCTCATTTATTATTCTGTTTCTCTCTTTTTCTTTCTCGCATAGTTTCATTCTTTTATTTCTCCCTCAGTTGTCTCATTCGATATTATTCACTCTCTCTCTCTCTCTCTCTCTCTCTCTCTCTCTCTCTCTCTCCCTATCTCTCTCTCTCATACCATTTCTTTTTTATAACACTTTTTCCTTCTCTCTCATCCTTTATTATTCTCTCTTGCCGGCTCATTGTTTTTTTTTCTCTTTCATTTTATGACTGACTCAGACATTTCTTTCTTTCTTTCTCATTTATATAATTTTTCTTATTGTCTATTAATTTCTCTCTCTGCATCCCACTCAGTCTATCAGAAATTCATTCTTTTCTTTCTCTCTCTTTCTCTCATTCTATATTATTCTGTACAATTTCTCTCTCTCTCACTCTCTCTCTCTCTCTCTCTCTCTCTCTCTCTCACTCTATCACCATTTTGCTTCTTGCCTGACTTTTTCTCATTCTATGTAATTCTCACTTGCTGGCTATCTCTCTCACTCTCTCTCCCATCTTTCTCTTTCTTACTATCTTACTGTTTCATTTATTACTTTCGCTTTCTCACTTTGACTCGCTCTTCTTTTCTATTATATTTTATGATTCTATCTATCTATCTATCTATCTATCTATCTATCTATCTATCTATCTATCTATCTATCTTCTCTCAAGTATACAGTTTTATTCAGATCATTTTATCCCAGTCAGTCAAAATATTCTTTCTTTCTTTTGCGAAATAATACAATCTATCTATCTAGCTAGCTAGCTATCTCAGTCTGTTGATATATATCTATCTCAGTCTATTCATATCTATCTATCTATCTATCTATCTATCTATCTATCTATCTATCTTCTTTCGATTATACAGTTTTATTCAGATCATTTTTATCCCAACCAGTCAAAATATTCTTTCTTTCTTTCTTTTGCGAGATAATACAATCTATCTAGCTAGCTATCTCAGTCTGTTCATATATATCTATCTCAGTCTGTTCATATCTATCTATCTATCTATCTATCTATCTATCTATCTATCTATCTATCTATGTGTTGTTTTACTCTGTCCGTCTTGCCTTCAATACGTCCGGTGGGTATTAAATTTTCTAAGCACCCTTTCTTCGTTATATGCTCTAGAAATTTCAACTGCCTCGCCAAACAACATATTACTTTCCGGAAAGGTTTCTGACAAAGGCTGAGAATTTTGGGCCCGCTCTTGTATGATTGATCTGTTTTGTACTGCTTATTAACCCTTTGTGGGTTAATTAAAGCCGAAACACAGATACAAGCCCCACTATTTCAACTATAGATGGAGGAAGGAGATGGATTCCTATCTTTTTCAAAGGTATTTGCCCGTAAGTGAATGCAAAAAAACAAAAAAAACAAAACCTTCTACCGAGCCGCTGTCCATAAACATCACTTACACATCTAGCTTGTATGGCAGTAACAAATCCTATGTTGCTCCAATGAGGAGTATTTCAAACATCAACGTTAAAGCTAAAAGCGTTGAGAAAACTGGTGAAATCGGTTGAAGTGTGCGTCTAGACACGTCGGATGACAAACATTTTAAAATTATAACTTAGTGTTACTATATCTTCTGCATTTCCCTTCGCTGCATAACTATAACCGACATTTCAGCTTATATGTTTCCATATATATATATATATATATATATATATATATATATATATATATATATATATACAGTACTGTTCGATAAAAAGTGACTCACCTGATTTTTTTTTTTTACTAAATGTTCTCTTCTCCTATGAAACAAAAGTTGAGCTAAATTCAAAGGATAAGCGATCTAAAATCCAAAGAAGAAGCTTTGAAAGCTCTTTGAATTTAGCAGTAAGTACTGTCAAGCATCCGTTCAGTATAATGTTCTGGGGATGCTTTTCTTTTCATGGAACTGGTTTCTTGAAACCTATTGAAAAGACCCTCAGGAGCGAGCAGTACAAGAGAATTTTAGAGTCTTGTCTCCTCCCTTCTGCTGAAAGGATGCAAATCTACCCCACCAAGCTCATTTTTATGCAGGATAATGCTCCCTGTCGCAAATCAAAATTGATGAAGGAATACTTTGATGAGAAGCAGGTGAGTGTTATGACATGGCCGCCCCAATCTCCTGACCTCAACCCCATAGAAAACTTATGGAGCATTATAAAGTACAGGCTCTCAAGAAAACAGTTGAGCAACATGCTCCATAATTTTTCTATGGAGTTGAGGAGCAGACAAGACTCTAAAATTCTCTTGTACTGCTCCCACCTGCGTGTCTTTTCAATAGGTTTTAAAAAAACATATATATAATTCTATCAATAAGAGCTTTACTTTATCTAAACATCTTTATCTAAACTAAAGGATGAAACACTTTTCCCACTTTGTCATTTAGTTATTTAACGCCGTTGTATATAATGCAGGTATGTGTAACACATTTTATGTTCCGGAAAGGATATGCAAGTCGTCCATCTTTGTTTAGGCGACTATTTTGGGGAA